ACTTTCCCTCCCTCTCTAGTCTTATCAACAAGAATAATATCATCAGCAAAAAGCATACACCAGGGTACAATCCTCTTGCACATGTCTAGTGAGACATCCATGACTAAAGCAAAAAGATATGGGCTTAAGGCTGATCATGATGTAACCCAACCGAAATAGGGAATACTTGGTCAAACCACCTTGTTTTGAACCAAGTAATAGCTCTTTGCATACATACTCTTAATGATTTGAATATAAGCATATTAACTCCTTCTCTTTTCAAGAACTCTCCATAGCACTTCTCTTTGAACTTTATCACAAGCTTTTTCTAAATCAATAATATCATATGTAGATCCTCTTATTTTCTCGATATTTCTCCATCAAACCTCTTAATAAATGTATGCTTCCATAAGTCGACCTACACCGCCATGAATCCAAATTGATTTTTGAGAACAATAGTATCACGTCGCAACCTATGCTCCATAACTCGCTCTCATAGTTTTAAAGTATGACACATTAACTTAATTCCTCTATAATTCGCACAATCTTGGCATCACCTATTCTTAAAAATAGGAATTAACAACACCCTCATTCCCACTCATCTGGCATCCTTTTAGTCTTCAAAATAGTATTAAAAAGTTTAGTAAGCCAAGAAATTCCTTCATTCATCCTAAGCATTTCCACACTCTAATGGAATTATCATCAGGTCCAACTACTTTTCCACCCTTCATTTTATTTAAAGTCTCTCTAACTTCGTTTTACTAATACGCATAAAAACATAGTCTTTATTTTCATTTAGGGTGCTAAGGTCACTATAGTCAATCCTATTTTCATAATTTTCATTAAAAAGTTTAGCAAAATATCTCATCCACCTTTGTTGAATATCATCTTCTAAGAAAAGTATTTCTTGATCTTCATCCTTAATACACTTCACTTGAATAAATCCTTACTATCCTATCTTTTGTTTGACTAATTTATACATATAATCTTTCTCTCCCTCCTTGTATCTAATCATTATAAAATCACTAAAAGCTAAGGTCTTTGCATCGCATATTGCTTTCTTTGATTCCTTACGAGCCTCTTTATATCTTTCCCATTATCAGATTATTAAATTAAACCAATTTTTATAACAAATCTTCTCATTCTTAATCTTTTCTTGCACATTTGGATTCCATCACCAACTATTTTTAATATTAGGAGCTTTTCCCTTTGATACTCCAAGCACATCTTTTGCAATATTCTTAATATCACTAGCCACTTTTTCCCACATAGCATAAGCATCCTCATGCACAGATAAAATCTTAAGATCTAAAATCTTACTCTAAAAAATATTTTTGTTAATATTCTTTAAAATACATGATAAATGTAAAATGATTACTACATTTACACCAAATATGCAAAATGCTCCCATTTCCTATACTTCCTATACTACAAGTTGGATATCTCACCTTGTTCTCTAGGGTGATTAGAAGAATTCTTTCTCCTACGCATCCTTGCCTCTTTTTTTGTTTTTAAACAACCTAAAGCATAATTATTTGCTTTTCATACATGCATTCAAATAAAATACACAGGCTGTAAGAAAACCTTACAAATTTACCTCAATTGCATTCCTCATTCAAAACAATTTTCTTCTCTCTCGTAAGCCTCCTTTCTCTGTTTCCCTTTTCTTTCTTTTGCCTTTTTTCTTACTGATTTCTGCTTTTCCTCCCTCTTTCTTTACTGATTTCAGCAAATAAATTTCAGCAAACACTTTCTCCAGCAAGCCTTCAGCAAACAAATATACCTCTAACCTGATTTCAGCAATTTCCTCAAACAACTATATATCTTAACTGATTTCAGCACTTTCCTAACCTGATTTCAGCAATTTCCTCAAACAACTATATCTCTTAACTGATTTCAGCATTTTCCTATCATAATTTCAGCAATTGCCAAAATTCTGAACTCTCCCAACGGCTTGCAGCAGCTCGATGCCTTTTCCCCCCAGCTTCCGTCTCCCGCTCCCTTGTTCTCTGTTTCGGGTAGAAGAAATTGGAATGAGAAATTGAAATGGGAAGTGCTTAATATACTAGTATTCCACTATGCCCTTTCAGTAATTACCAACCACTTGATACCATCCGGCCCATGCATGCCGTGATTAGTGGGAATGGTAGTGGAGCCTACAGTACCATTTAATAAAATATAGTTACTTGATATAGTTAATTAGCTGTTATTCTTTAACTGTAATATTAATCAGTTATTTAAAAGATATCTATACATATACATTTAAGATATATTTATATATATAGCAAAATTACTAGAAATTAAATATCGAATTTGATGAAAATATATTTGATGTTTTCCATATGTGTGAGAACATAGGGGAAAATTGTATGCTTACATTTTTTACAACATTTTGGGTATTATAATTTCATCCCTTATCAGAGCCCTAGGAGGTGGCTCTTGATGAAAGAAACTCTCCTCATCGAACTCTTATATCAATTTGATGCATCTTGGAAGTAGAAACAACAAACAAAAGTTGAAGGTTCACACACATCACCAAGTACAATGTTTACTTATCTGGGAAGCATATCTATCACTTATGAATCAGCTTTCCTTACCAAAGCCTTATCCTTGGGGTTGGTTTCTCTCTTCCTCAATCCTCATCATTCATTTGACATCTTCCTTTTATACCTTACCTCAACAAATCCATCACCATCAGTAGAAGCTTCAATGTCAGGCTAATTAAAAATCCTAAAAAAATGCCACTCTGCAGAGGAGCGCATCGATATCATCCTTAAGAAGCCCATTCTTCTTTAAAATTCTAACGAATAGTGTTTTCTCAAAAGAAATGTTGTAAAGTAAGAAGAACCGCTATCTAATTCCAGGATCCTTAGCTCTTAGGCCTAGCATATATTGTCTCTCCACCTTCTAAACTACCTCTTGGCAAAGTGCCAAAGGATGCTTGCTTGAATCTGCACATAAATAGTATATAAGCTCAAGATATTTTTGTCATATTCTTCCGATGTAGTTGGTAAGAAGTCTCCATCTTCTTCTCCTTCCAAACTTTGCAGCTCCACCAAAAATCCCTCTCATTAACCCTTTCCCCGCCTTGGAAGTAGCTCCAAAGGTGATATATCTTCTTCTTCCCTCAAAATTTTCACATCTCAATCCTCCCTCATCAAACTCCTCCCATCAATCGCCTTTCCCTGAGATTCGGCCAAGGGAATCCCGATCAAATCTTGGCTAGGTTTAGCAATCAGAATCGTCAATGGAGTTTTGAATTGCATCCTCATGAGCTTCCTTAATATCTCTTCCATCCCTCCTAATCAAATTTTCATAGATGAAAACTTTCCTTCCATGGTTGAGAATTTTATTCTCCACGATGGATTTGATTTGCTCCATCTTACATTCCAACACCTCCACCTTTGTTGTCATAGGTCCCAAAAAAGAGTTATGATACCAATTTGATATGTCATGGAAGTAAAAACAACTAAATAAACAAGTAGAAACTACAGGAATACAAAGATAAGGGCTGATTTTTTCTTCTCTTCAATAAGAAAGAAAGATACAAGTAATCTACTATTCAAGAGGTAGATCAGCACTCCCACAAATCCTAAACGCCACTAGGAACAACTCCTAAGAAAACTATAGCAAACATAAATCACGTCATGAAAATAAAACAACCTAATTACCCTTAAATAAACCATTATATTTCCCTCACATATCTTAATTCAAATCAGCCCTCTTTCCCTTAATAAAACCTTCTTAATTCCCTCTCAAATCTGAATTCAAATTAGCCCTCTTTCCCTAAATAAAACATTCATACTTCCCTCCTAAATCTGAATTCATATCAGCCCTATTTCCTTAAATAAACCTTTCATAATTTCCTCCCCTCTAAATAAACTTTCTTAATTATTTATCTCATGATTTCTCCTTCTTACATAGTGAATATTAACTCCCATAGGCCTCATAAGGTCGGCCTCCATGGCGTATTAAATGCCGAACCACAACAACAAATTATCCCAAACTAAAGAGTTCACCAAACATAATGCAGATAATAGAATACAAGAAGAAAGTTGATATCAGTGTGACATTGAAGTTACTACTCGGACTGATGGTACCCCAGTAGATGAAGAGATGAAGTAGGATAAAATGGAGATGGACAAATGTCCATGCAAGATACCAAAAAGCCAAACCATCTGAAATTCTCTTCAATGACATTTTATGCACATTAAGATGCTTTTTCTTTCTTTAACCTCTCAATTAGTACAGAAAAGCTTCAAATTCAAAATTGTGATCTGCATTAATCTAAATATCACAGTCCAATAGCCAAAGGAATATCCTCCTCATCAGGCCATGCTAACAGTAAAATCAAGCAGTCCCTGAGGAAGAAGGGTTTTGTAACAAAGAAAATGTAAGAAGACAGCAGGCACCACCAAAGAAATCATCCCTCTAAAAATCAAATGTACAATAGGTTAAATGGCATATACCATTTACAAGCACGCTCCTGGAATAGCATTGAAACTTCAAATGCAAAATCAAGAAACCAAACCTTTCACCTACTTTCCAGAGTGTAAACGACACAACTGATCTGTGATTTTCTAGTAATATGTGGAAAGCTATAGCAAACATGAGCTTGATGAATAAAGCAACGCTCAACTTCAGAGTGAAAGCAATAAGAAAAGCTGCAGCAACACCACAACTCCCAGCTTGGGTAGACAGCAGCTCTGTGATGAATTCCAAAAAAGCTATCTAACAGGGCAGAACAGTGAGCCTACAGTAATTTTACTACTATTCATGAATGAGACCTTAATTAGGTCAAGTGAATAAGCATAATCTCATTCACAACATATTATGGAACATAATAAAGTAGTAGTGCCACATCTATAACAGATGTAAAAACTCAAGATGGAGCATTGACAATCCAGTCTTGTTTATTTTTGCAAAATCTTTGTGAGCCATCATGCAAATAAAGTAAGGCTAGCAAGCAGGAGGAAATATCAATTAGACCAAATTTCATCCATATGAGGTGGTTTCCTTACATGTTTTAGTACGTCCACAAGAAACTATCACTTTTGAAACAGTTGCTGGTGCTGTACAATCCAAAAAAATGGTTTCACCTGCATTTTCCAAAATAATAATAATAATAAAGGTAAAATACACGGAAGCTTTTCAGGGAATCATTTCAAGCAAGCCACTATATTTTGAAACTGGAAAGCGGTTTTAAATTACTTATACTGCTCTCAGAGTTTAAAAAGAAACAATCAAATTCTAATTTAAAGTGCAGACTGTGCATGAAAAAATACTGAGCCATAAATTTGATTGTTGATCCGCATTGAAAGTCCTAAAGTTAACTGTACTTTAACCAATTTAAATTGCAATTGTTAATGACATTTTTCTTCTCACGGAAATACAACCTAAAAGTTAAGTAAAAAAAGCGTTTAAAACAAGAAACACTGGCACTAAGAAAAGTAAACATGTTGCAAGAAAATTGCAAAGAGAAGAAGGCAAGCTACAAGGATAGCTTAACCGTCGAGGGTATTGCAAAAAAGGCTAAATATTGTAGAAAAAAATAACTGTTTGTACGTTTCTTATGCTATAAAGTGATATTTCATTTGACTTCAATAATTAGCAAGTTCATGCAACAATATTTAATCAAGGTCACCAAGTTAAGACCATCCTATAACTGGAATTTATATTTAAGAAGATTCTGAAGACAAGAAATCTGTATGACCGTATCAACTATAGAAAGGTAGTACTCAGGAACCATATCTTACAAGCTGCATGCCATATAATTCATTCAGCTTTTTATGTTGAACAAACCAAAAACTAGGTTCAGGTATTTTTTTTTCACCTCCTCAATGTTTGTATCATAAAAAGCTAGTTCTTTTTGTCAAAAATTATACACTTTTTATATGCACATACATTTCATCATTGATCTGTGACAAACAAGCAGCTAATGAAATATTAAATTTCCTGCAGTCCATGAAGAAAGTTGCAGGGACAAATCCACATTTAATTGCGTAAATCCTTGAGAAAGATGTCATTTGCCCATGTTGTTAGCTCTCCTGACCTCTCATGTTCGCAGGAAATATGAAACTGTTGGCGGGAGACTGAGGGAAGTTTGCTTTAGGTCAAACTAAGGAGCCCTAGCGCTGGTCTTTTATTGCGATTCTCAAGCCCACACTTCATCTTTTCTCTTCCTCCTTCAAGCAGCAAACAACTTCATCGCCTCTCTTCCTCCTTCCAGCCACAGCCTCCATCTTCTTTTTTCCTACTCCTAGCTGGCCCGCATCCAATCTCCTATCTCCTTTCTATTTGTTTTTCAAGAGTTACAAAGGGATTTTTGCCAAGAAGGGAGCAAGTTCTTCAGGGAATCAAGTTCCAAACATCATACTCCGGCAAAAAGGTGGTTTTGGCAATATTTAGAGCAACCCAAGCATCCACTAGTAATCCTCTTATTTTCAGTTGTATTCATGTCATTCAAACAAACATTATAGCCCATGACCGCTAAACACAAACTTCAGTTAAAAAATCTCTACAACTTAAAAAATCAAAGACTCTTCGGCCATTGTGGATTTGTGTGACAATCATAATCAATCCTAAGTCCTTTAGATTGACTTTAGCTTATGGTTTACTAACCTAAACCAGCCATCCTCTACTTTAATCTATGAAAATACGATGATTTCACATGGTTGATTTTTATTTAAGAATCTATATAAGAGGACAACGAAGTGCCAGGTTATTGGATTCGGATCTGATTCCCCCCTCTTGCATGAAATTACATTCATGTTGGACCTAACCTTTCACTTACACAAATCCCTAGGTTTCCTCATGGCTATTGGATCTCCATCATGCTATGATGCACCGACACGGACCGGCGACACGGACACGCACGACACGGACACGGCAATTTTTAAAAATATAGGACACGGGTGCGGCGTGGACACGGCATAATAATTTTTTAATATAATATATAATATTTTTTAAAAATATAGGACATGGACACTGCGTGGACAGATAGCTCTATTGAACCTTCACCTAATCCACCCCGGCCAGCAACAAAGCTCATTTTGCTAACAAACCAATCATACATATGTATAAATCAAATTAAATTGATATGAAGTGAAATCAAAATATCCTAATAATAAGACAACATGAATACAGCAATATACCGGTATGCCGGGGGTCCAAGGGGGCGCTGCCCCCTGGCGGAACAAAATTTTATTGTGAGAGTAATTTTGAAGTTCTGCTTGTTTTTAAATTTCGTAAGTTGTTTGTATGGGAAGATACCGAGTGGTACCGAGCATATACCTAGCAGTACCGAGCATGTACCTAGCAGTACCGAGCATGTACCTAGCAGTACCGAGCATGTACCTAGCGGTACCGAGCATGTACGTAGCAGTACCGAGCATGTACCTAGCGATACTTAGCGGTACCGAGCATGTACCTAGCAGTATCGAACATATATTGAGCAATACCGAACATATACTGAGCGGTACCGAACCTGTACTGAGCGGTACCGAGCATATATTGAGCAGTACCGAGCATGTACTGAGCGGTACCGAGCATGTATTGAGCGATACCGAGCATGTACCTAGCGATATCGAGCATGTATATAGTGATACCTCATTTAATAACCGGACACGCATGTCCGACACGCGTGTCCGATTTTAATTTTAATTTTTTAAATTACGACACTCCAATGCCGTGTCGGACACGTGTCTGACGCGTGTCCGTGTCCGTCACGTGTCCGACACTGCATACCCTCTTTAAGTGTCGTGTCGGTGCATCATAGCCATCATGTAACTATGCACTTGTTTAATTTAATCAAATTGCCTTTCATTCCAATTAAGATTTAGATTATGACAAAATTAATACAAAATGTGATAGGTCTCTTTTTGCTAGGGTTTTCACTTCCTTAAAATTTTGGAAATTATTCAATAGGTTTATTTAATCCTAACTATTTATGAAACTATTTTGAGATGGACCATCAAAGGTCCATAAATTAAATTCCATACTTTGGAATTATTAAAGCCTACTTATAATTTTTCCAAATTATATGATTAAATGAAATAATAAATAGCCTAAAGCTATGAAAATATTCTATTTTAATACAAAATTTTCTATGGAAAAAAAAAACCTTCCCTCTGCTTTTGAAGTCAATTGATTATGCCAAAATTAATCTTAGACACTTTCAAAGCCATAGGAGTAATTTTCCAATTTCAAATGAATCCAAAACATTCTTAAAAATAAAAACTTTCTCAGGAGTCCACTTTTTCTTCAGAAGCAGTGCTTTGAAGTCTTCCAAAGCTTTAAACTCTTTAGAATCATAGAGCCTCTTTCGATCTAATTTACCCCTTGACAAATTTAAGAGTTGCTTTGATTCATGTTAAACCAAATTCAACTTAGATCATTGCTATCTAGCTTCTCTTTGATTGGTGTCTTCTTGGACTCTCATGAGGTTTCCAAACAACCTCTAAAGTGTTTAGAGAATAGAGAGCCCCAGAGATCCTTAGAACCAAAGTCTAGGTTCATTGGCCTATGTATTTGAGCAAAAATCAACACCTTCTACATTTTGCATAGGAGCTCAATACTAGAATCTCATATTTTCCTAACCTAAACTAAGCAGATGAAACTTTCATCATTGAACACAAAAATTCTAGGATCTCTATTTAATTTGTAGTTCCAAAATTATAGAACACATCCCAAAATTTTTAATCATATTTTTAATAGCCCAATTAAGAAAATATCTCTATTTCTATAAACTAAAAAGTCATAGGATATTCCATAAACCTCAGCTCAAAAGATATAGGTTAAGTTTCATTGTCCCCTAGCCTATAAACTATGAGTAATTCAATAACTCTCTAGCCTTCAACTTTGTGACAAAAAATCTTAATTTATTTATATTTAATTGAATGCATTTCAAGTAAATATCTTAATTATGTTATATGACATAAAAATTTACAAAGTCATCTGTATCCCTTAGCCTCAAAAGCTATATGACCTTCCATAATTCTTTAGCTCCAAAAGCAACTAGAATACTTGCCTTCATTTGCGTGTACCCAAAACCAAGTGAATACATTCATATTCTAACTTGGGATCAAATCCCATTAGCCGTCCATTTGACCCAAATCAAATAGGAGTCATCTTTTACTCTTTGGCCTCAAAGCCAGAGACTTTTTACTCAATCTAAATGAGTAGATGACTTTCCTTATATTCAAAAGTCTTAGATCTTTTTCCTTGGTATTGAGCTCCAAATCTATAGACCAAATCTCATCTTTACTTATAGCCTAAATTAGCAAAAGCTATAGATTAAGTTACATTGTCCCTTAGCCTATAAGCTATGACTAATTCAATAACTCTCTAGCCTTCAAATTTGTGACCAAAAATCTTAATTTATTTTTACTTGAATACATTTCAAGTAAATAGCTTAATTATGTTATGTGACACAAAACATTACATAGCAATCCATATCCCTTAACCTCAAAAGCTCTAGGACCTTCCATATTTCTTTAGCTCCAAAAGCAACTAGAATATTTGTCTTCATTTGCGTGGACCCAAAATCAAGTGTATAAATTCATATTCTAACTTAGTATCAAATCCCATTAGCTCCATTAGACCCAAATCAAATAGGAGTCATTTCTTGCTCTTTGGCCTCAAAGCCAGAGACTTTTTACTCAATGACTCAATCTAAATGAGTAGTGGTTTTCCTTAAATTCAAGAGTTTTAGATATTTTGCCTTGGTTTTGAGCTCCAAAGCAACAGACCAAATGTCATATTTTCTTAGCCTAAATTAGCAAGTATCTTTTTCCATTGTCCACAAAGCAAGGACCCATCTACTTCAAGTAGGCGAACTTTTATGCCTATACCCAAACTTTAGATTCTCCCACTAAACTGAAAAGGTGGCTTTGTAGGTTCATCCAAATTTCCATTTAGGTCGAGGACCTTTCTATTTACAATCCAAATAGACATCATGCATTCTGGAATTTCAAATGATAATAATCTCAATTGATTTTGCACTTCACACAATCATTGTTGCCAACGTCTCAAAGAGAAATCTAGTAATATTTATGTAAAACATTTAGGCCATTTTTTGCAATGAGTAACAATGTATTGGGCCACTTAATTGTAGAGTTATTTGCACGTCAACATTTAAATCTTACGTTGAAACTAATTCATAGTGGGACCATGATCTATCCTATAATCACAACAAGCGCCTCACAAGTCATATTTGCATTATGGATCATACTAACTTCTCATATTTTTCAAACAACAATCAACATGAAATTAATCTTCTTGAATTCTCTGCATATCATTAGTCAACAAGCAAAAAAAATCCTTTCTCACCGTTGATCTTCCCTCTTCCTATCTTACCTAAAGAAGTAGTTAGAGGATAATTTATTTCTCAAATTGTTGATTAAATGTGAGGGTCTATGCATGTGTATATAGGAGGATTAAAAAAAAATAAAGGAAAAGAATATAAAATAAGATTGCTGACAATATAGATAGCGACATGAATGTTTCAAAAATAATGTCATAGACTCTAGAATGACAATATCAATTGAGCATTAAGAACCAAAACAAGGTTTAAATTATAGCCCAAAGGAATGGCACACCTTTGGGTGCCAAATTAATTATCTTTGTGAAATCAAGTTAAACATTTCATGAACTCCTTGATAGGAAGAAATAACACACAAAATGGATCTCCAAACAAGTAATTAAAATCTTGAAAAGATAAATCCCATTTTCATATTTGGAAAAATAAATGAAGCCATAAAAAAAAAAATTGAAGAAATAAAGAGCCTTCAGGATCAGCACAAATAATTTAGACTTATGAATTGGTGAAGAATATAAGATTTTTATGACAATAAAATCAAGATGTACAAACAAATATAACAAAAAAGAAGAAATAGTTCTGATTTATGCTAATTGAAGATCAAATCATAAATACATATTTAAAAAAAAAAACTTAAAAAGTGAACACCCAATTAAGCAAGCACTGTAATTTAGTATCACATTTTAAAAGGTCTTTTTTCAAGCTGCACTAAAAAAGCCAAACTATAAAGTGAAAGAAGTTTGACAAATAATAGAATAGGCTATGCATTTAATTTGGTTGATGATGATTTGGCAATTCATGACATAATAAAGTGAAAGGTGCTTGATAGCATATTTTTCAAACACAGACGACAGAATCTATGACTGATTTAGCAAGTCAAGCAAAAGCATAATATATTTTTTAAGGAAATTTAAGGAATTACCTCTTTTCTGCTTCGATCCTGGCAACGGCTTCTGTATGGAAAACCACTGGCCGTCCAGCTTTTCGACACCTTTAATTTCAACCGCAAGGTTATCAACCAAAAGTGAGCAAACTTCATTGGTGGATGGTTCAGCCACATTTGTATCCTTGGAAATTGCAGGATTACTTATTTCTATCGTTGCGGTGATAAAATCCCCAGGCCTGTACACTTCTTTATCTGTTTGTAGCTTTAAAGATGGAGAAACATCAGGTTTTTTGGACGAGTTGCTCTTTTTATCATCAAACCATCCCCCGCCTCCAAAGAAAGAGAAACCCTGAGGAAACTTTAATGACATCTCCTCAGTGTCTATCGCCCATCCAAGCGATCAAGTCCTCAAATGTTGACAAGCAATAACTGTCCAGTGACACCATTGCTTCGTAGACGAAATCTCATAAGCTATGCTACAATATCTCCGAACAAGCATTCCCGATGGCTTAAAACCTATTATTCAAAAGCGTGGAGCGTACTGCAGTTAAAAAACAAGCCAAAGTCCTCTCAGATCTTAACATGCTAAATCAGTGACACCATTGCCTGCCAGAATAGCTAACTGTCCAGCTACAAGTAGGATTTAGTAAATCCTAACAGTATCAAATCTAGAATATTATTTGACATGGAAACTATTCAATTCGGCTAAATACTAATAAACTGCTTGGTTATTTGTTTGGAGATTTAAATTTTAAATTTAAATACATAACAGAACAGATCGACACAGAAATGGAAGAGAAATAGGAGAGGACTACAGCACTAACCAGCACAGAAGAAGAGAAGTTAAAACAGTTTCATCACCTGCAGCGTGGAGGAGTCAAGTAGGTCGGGGTCGGGAGAGGTGAGATGCTAGAGAGGAGCTCGATGGGGGAACCGGGGTTTAAAATGTTTTTTTTATTTCAAAATCATAAAAGTCGAGCAATTTTATAACACTAGTGTATTTCAAATACTATGTATTTCTAATAATTCTTTTACTCGGGACAAGCCTAGCGAGTCGCTCCGCTAATTTGTGACTCTCTCTCAGTAAATATGATGAGCATCCAAGACTTTTAGTTTCCTAATACTAAGTAGTGCTCATTTAGGGTATTTGAAAATGTCTTTTTCATTATGTTGTTGACTTGCAACAACAAAGATGTTGGCAAAGAATTGAATTAATGTGGAAGAGTACAACCGTGTGATTCAACATCAACATGCAAATTGCATCATTTTGAAATTATAGGGGATTCTCAACGGCGCTTACAGGATCAGCATATCAGTCATGCAACAACTTAGATAAATTGACAGAGAAAGTCACATTGTCTCCATCAATAATAACAACGACAAAAATATTTTTGTCCCAAGAGACGAAAAAGCGACTTATCGATTAATGACAATAAAAAAGGGTGAGATCTTCTTAACATAAGAGATACATGAAGTACACTCCACTCTACATATCCTAGCTAAGATGGTAGAAGCCGTCTATAACAATGAGTGCTTTTATCTATCTCCACTAATGTGTATTGTGCCAATTGTTCATGACTCGTTGAAATATTGTGTCTTTCATAAAGATCATACTTGTTATATAAAGAATTATCATCACCAACATAAGAGAAACTGCACAATTTCAAGTAACCATCTTAGAAAGGGAACTATCTAAAGAATAAAGTATTGAATTAATGTGGAAGATATGTAAAATAAATATCTTTGCCATAGTAGTAGAAAATAAATATTTATTTTGAAAATAAACATTTAATAATATTTGACTTTATATCAAATGATGATTATAAAATAAACATTATAATGCTTGTGTCCAATAAACACAATAGTAACATTTACTCTATAGCACAATTTGATATAAAAAATTGTCATCATCAAGATTTTTATCACATAATTGTTTGATGCATAAAAGAATATGATAGTTACATTTGAGCCATGTGAGTGTGAGTGATGTGGGTGCACTCTGTCATGCCTTCAACATTGTGTATTGTGGAGATAACAAATTTAGCTTATATTTCAATATTAAATTCATATGCATCATTAAAATTTTTTATTATGAGGTCAAATATGTCATTTTCATACTTTGTATTATAAAAAGTATATATCTAAGGCTTACGATAGTTTTTTTACTATTTTTTAAAGTAATTTTTAGTATAATTTTTTTTTAAGCAGCAAAAAAAGTAATGTTTAAAAACTATCACAAAAGAGAGAAATTATTATGTGCGGTCATCGGACCGACCGGAGGTCAATCAGGATGTGCCACTTCACCTGATATACACCAATACACAGTGACGGTACACCATAAATTGGTGATGTGGCGCGTCCTGATTGGCCTCCGGATGATGTCTGGTATCCGCACGTAATAATTTTGCCACAAAAGAAGCCTAAGTTAGCATGTTCTTTTTAAAGTGATGACTGCAACTTTTTTTACCTAATATATTATTTTAATAATTCATCTTGAGCAAATTCTAACTCTTCTTAAGTAGCTTAGGTTTGCACATTATAATTAAGACTTTATTTGGGACAATTTTTTTATTGCTTTCTAAATCAGCTTTAAAAATTCAAAAAAAAAAAAAAAAAACTGTACCAAATGAAACCTAAGATTCCATCCAAGGAACTTTCTATTATAATAATTGATTGATATATGTCATTCACAAGAGATGTGAACTGAGTATCTAAATGAATTTGTATTTATTTTTAACACTTAAAAAATTAATTAAATAATTATATATTCATTATATTTTTGAGAATTGCAGTGATATGAAATATATCATATAACAATATATGTAATTGGAAATAAAATCAGAACACTGGTGTGATACCAAATAAATCAATATGCAATGAATCAATAACGATAACAAATATAAATAAACAGCATAAAACGGTAATAAATTCCTTACAAATTATATAGATCGCCAAAAAAAGCACTTGGAGCTTGTTCTACATATATATATTCTCAGAGTGGTGGAGTCGAAATTTCTTTTTAATAGGGGCAAAAATTAGACTTTTTAAATGTTTTCTCACATTTATTTTCATTTGTGTTTGAGGCTGACATTGACAATTTTAAAATTTTTTTATTTGAATTTCTTATTTTAAAAAGAAAACACATAAAATAATAAAAAATTTATAATTTATAATGCCTATTCTTGATATTTTAAAAGAGTTGAATACTTATTTTATTATTAACATAATCAAATATTTCTTTATGTATATAATTGATATAATACTACTATAAAAATAAAAAATGAAAAAAATTATAAATAATTACAAATAATTACATACTATGTTGAATATTAGTATTCAAATAATATCACTTATTGATTTTACATGCTATGTTGAATAATACCATCTTTCAAATTGTTTGATATGGAAGCCAGTGGCAGACATCGCCATTAATGCTTCATTTGTTGTTCAACAATCAAATATCTGAAATATCATATTTTGCTTGAAGTGAAAAATATATAACAAAACACTATACCATGTGATATGGGCACCAAGCTTGTAGGATTGCTTGCCCATCTGTATAAATGACAATGACTCTATTTCTCATAAAATAGAACAGAACAACATGGTAGAAGCCTATACATACCTTGAAGGGACGCCGTCACTTCTTTGGTTACACTACCAGTATTATATGACAAATTACTAGGTTCCGACACCAGATAGAGAGAATCATACAAATTTCTCTCTGCCTACAGTAAAAATGCAGTCAAAGCACAGCTGTTACAGTAACTATGCTTTTACTGTAAACAGAAAAAAATCTGGATGATTCTCTCTATCCGATGTCCGAACCTAATAATTTCTCCCAGTATAGAGGATGATTCAGAAACCAGCCCATCCAGCCGGCTGGGTAGAATCGACCTTCTGGACTCTGGTGGCTGCAATCCTCTGTGAAGAACTCCCAAGAACTGGAGACCTGAAGGTATCAGAGCTGGAGGAAGAGGAAACGGAGAAGCCAACATGCTCAAAGCCCCAATCATCTCTGGTAGAGCTTGATCCATGCTGTTTTGTGCTGCTGTGATGGTCATGATTTGTCCTACTGGATTTTGAATGCTTTGTATTAGGCATTAGCTCTTGTTTAGGCTCATCTGCGAAAGTTTGCCATTGTTTGGGATCTGGGTAAATGTTGCTGGAAAGCATTCCTCGCTGGGGCTCCAAAACAGTTCCCTCAATATTTTCCCACGACTGTAAGAGCATCATAAATACTTGAGAAGTTGTAGCATCAAAGAAAGGAGAACTATAGATAAGATATAAATCCATACCAGTGTGTCGGATTGTGGGCTTCCATTGAAGTAGGCGAGACTTTGAGGACAGTCTTTTGACGATGAAGAAGTTGCTATTGCTAAGGTAAGCTTCAGCTCCTGTATCTCATGCCTTTGGGAGCGGCAAATGGCTGAGAGCTTTTCAAATTTGGATGTCACTTCTGTTTTCTTCAAGTTCACTTGTTTAATTTGCTCCTTCAGCTTCTCCAACTCTGTCTCCAACTCTTCCTCCCTCCTTGATTTGTTGATGCTATTGCTCATAGCAGTATTTCCAGAAATTGTCTTGTTGAAATCAACAACAAAATCACTGAATGTCTTATTTTGAAAGGATAATTTGTTCTCTGGCGAAAACCTTATTTGCAAGTCCTCAGTTTGGACATCTTCAACCCCCTTGTACACGCTAACCTGAGTAGGCTGAGCTTGCTCTTCTTTGGAAGGGCTGTTTATTCTTCCCAGTTTAGCTTGACTTTGCTTGGAAGTTCGACTCATTGGTTTTTCATCAAACAATAAGCCTTTTTCCCCCACAGATTCTGAATCCTTTGTAAACTGGGTAGACCAAAATGTACCCAAGGCGCTCTCATTCCCAAGCACCATTGGAGAGCCATGGGAAGGACTTGGCCGATTTTCTACATGACATTGAGGTGAGATTTTACCAACCTTTTCCCTTAAAGGTGGAGGAGGGGGGCTCCTCTTTGGTATAACGGGAGTCTTCTTAAATGTACCTGCAAATTCACAACATACAATTATTTCTAAAAATAGACTTAAATAGGCATGGTACCAAAAAGGTCTATATACTAAAGGCAAGGAAATATTATATTGATATGCCTACATTAAGTTCCATTTGTTTGAAAGATTTTAGGTGAGCTAATATTTTGTTCGTTATTAATCAGTATAAAAAAATAGTAAACAAAACAAAGCAATAATACTAGCTTACTGCACAAAACACTTTAGAGCAATGCTCACAAAAAATCTCCTTACCTATTGGAAGTGAATTTGCTGGTTTCAATTGTGGTCCATAGAACTAAGTTTAACATAGCATGATCAGTTGTTAAGATCTTAAGAAAATTAAGCTTCGTTTGAGACGACTTTCTTTCTGCTTCTTAAAGCAGCTGTCTAGTACAAAAAATTTTAATTTTATAATAAAAAGTTGCTTTTAAGAAGCAGAAAGAAAGCCGTCGCAAACGAAACATTAATTGTTAAAAAGAACTAGCCTTTAGAACTAATTCTCAAGCTAGACATGCATGATAAGGACTTGAGGACCCAACAGCTATCACCACCTAACCTTTATTATTCACATCTGAGATAGAAGGGTGCATTTTAACAGTTGATGCAGTTTGAACACAGTTAGTCGAGTGTTTTCGCAACTCCGAAGGTAATAATTCATTAACACGAAACCACACCTGTTAAAGGAAAAGTTTAACAAATAGAAAAGAAGAAGAAGAAGAAAAACTAGCTACTTTACCTCTATCCCGCTGCTGCAGATGCAAAACTAACAAACCTAGCCAGATGAAGAAAAACAGTCAATCAACCAAAGCTCTTGCCTGAGAGATGTCTGGCCTGGCACCTGGAGAGCCTTCTAGCATATCTTTGATCAAGCCTGTAACATAAGCACTGTACTTTGGTAACTCTGGAATGCGATAGTTTCCATTCAAGATCTGAAGTTTAGACTCGCCATCAAAAGCAGATTTGAAATAGCATATTCTGTACAGCAGGCATCCAAGAGCCTGTACATAGGGGCATACTATTTAGTAAAAGCATACTTGCAAAAGTAATAAATTTATATATTTTAACTGAACAAGTGATCAAATTGAAAATGCAAAAATTGAACAGTTTTTTTTTCCATAAAAAGGATATCATCATTGAACCGCTACGTTCCTACTCAGAAATTCATATAAGTTGCAAGAAACTGGAAAGTTAAAAAGAAAAACAGAAGAAAGACGTAGAGTGATTTTACTTGCCCAAATATCCACTTTCTCACAGATAATTTCTCTTTTATACAAGTCCCACATCTGCGATGATCGAAATTTAATAAAAAACCCGAAGTAGTTATAAGAACTTCAAACTCGGAAAGGTAGTTTCCTCGTCAAACCTCAGGCGCTCTATATGCAGGAGTAGTGTGCTTTCTAATATTGTCTTCTTCAATACCCATCTCTTCTGGTTTATCAAAGCACTTGTGATTCGTGGAAGTGCTGCCAAAGTCACATAATCTCCAATTCCCTTCTGAACCAAGGAGAACATTTTCAGCTTTCAGGTCCCTGAAGAAAGCAGGAAATGTTCAGTAAATTTGATAGGAACTCGATTCCAAATATTTTCATACGGCCAAGCTAAAATTTAAATCGCATTCGACCTTCAAATTCAATTTTCCACTTAACATTTGCTATAAAATGATCAAAATGTGAGAGTTCCATCACTAAAATCTTTTAGGATAATAAAAATAAAAATGCAAGCAATAAGCTAATAGAACGAAGAATGAGCAAAGCTAAAAATAGATACAGGTAGGTTGATGTTAATGGCTTAAGAATCTTGAATTGGCCGTAAATGAACGCAAAAATTTTGAGTTTCAAAATTTTGTTCAAACTTATGTATTAATTTTTTTTAATTTGCTTTAATTGAGCATATCTAACTATATATATGAAGCTAATCATTTGAACAAGATCTTACTGCTAATAATAAATGTTTTTGTAAGTTTTTAACAATGGACAATCCTTCACTCACATATTCCTAATGTTTTATGAATAACAAAAATTGATTTTTAATCTATCAATCTAATTATTTGTTTAATAATTTCATTATCAAATCTTAATTTAAAAATAAAATTAATTTGTAAATCATCCACATAGCATTTGCTTAATTTTTGTTTTCATTATCAAATGCTGATAAAGCTGTTTGCTTAATATTTCTTCATTCTTACACTTGGAAAAATATAATTAACTTTTGAAGTGCTTAGTACATAAGAAAATTAATACAAGAACATAAAAAGGTTATCAAGCAAACAACAAAATCATCATTAAATGAGCACAATATTAAACTCTTAGTGAGCTACTTATTAAATAATAAATAAGCATATTGAAGAACTTATGAACAGTTGCATCAATGTTCAACCATGTTTATTTATGTGCTGATGTTTAAAATTTTTGCTCAACTTTGAATTATATAAACAAACAAACATAAAAGAGACTTATATGAACGAGTATCAAACACTATTGTAAATGCATAGAAAAGGATTTTTAATTTGAAATAACCCAAATTTTTCTGTAAGAGAATGACAAATTTCAAAACAAATTTTATGGATAATAAATACAATTTTATCTTCCATAAAAATAGATTCAAAAGTTTGTCCTAATTTTATTGGAGTTTATTTAAATCTAAAATTGAACCTATATTCATTTTGAATTTCCATAATCTTAATTCCTATATGTAGGATTAATATAGGATTAATACAAAATTGGAATCACCCACATATCTGTATGAGATAACCAAGCAAGCGACTTCCCAGCACAATGAGTTGGAGTTCCCTGCCATTGAAGGGGGCAAAATGATCCAAGTAGACTTGGAGGAAAGGCGATATTCATTGGTCTTTAATTACCTTTCATCTAGTACTTTACTACGACATCAAGAAGATGACTGAGCTCTTCATTACAAAGTTGCATGTTACTTTATACATGAAGAAGTCCTACTCTAACATCAACTTAAGATGCTTGTGCCTGAAAGCTGAAGCAAAGTGGATAGCTCCACTCATGTCTGCGTAATAGTAATTCAAAAGGTGTTAACTTGACAAGAAAGGCATTCAACAATTGTATTACCCGCCTTCTAGGCATCAAATTGCCATCGAACACTTGAAGAAGCGAGTCAAATGTCAAATTTAGGGAAGGCTGATAAAATAAACCTAGCCAACAACTCCACCCCATTATGATTCTCTGACCATTGTCATGAGGGGGATGGATTTTGTCAGAACTTTCCGAATGACTTCTTTGTAGAGGAGATTTATGCTAGTCCTTGTCACTAGCTGGGTTGAAGTCGAACCTTTCACTTGATCAATCGTAAAGTTGATCATCAACTTCCTATGGTTAGAGATCTTGACCGGCTTTGAGCTTCCACTCACCTTAATCACTAATAATGGTCCACTTGCCTAAACCCTATTAAAACAAGTACAAGAGATAATATATAGAAAGATAAGCTCATTCATTCATTCATTCATCCATAATTATGTTACATACTTGATAGGGTTGAGTTTATCTTCATCTAACGTAAAATAGTTAAAAGTAAGCTTTCAAATAAATTTTCCTCTAACTTCTTTTTGACCAGTGCACTGTTAGGATCTAATAGCCCTCCTCAATCAATAGAAGCCAATAATCGTCACACTCCACTGTTTGCTTGTATTTCTCTATTATTGATTTATTTCATTATCATCCACAACAATGATAGTTAGCTTCATAGAAGGTTTTTCTCTTTAGCTCAACCACTTAATCTGGAAAAGGCTTGAAGAGTTGAGGTAATCCTCTTGGTACGAGCTAGCGCAATTCATTCATAGTTTTCATTCAATCTTTTAGAAAGGTGATTTTATTCTTGGCAATATGCAATTTTCTCTCAACTTTATTCTTTGGTGGCTCTCAGTGACAGATCTATCATTCTTCTCGAACACCATAGAGTGTAGCACTGCATTATGATCCAAAAGTTTCATCATGTTTTTTTAGTTCAGCTCACGTAGGCAAATTTTTTGTTTATCACCTTTATAATGGCAATAAATTGTTCGGTAGATTTATTTCCATCTCAAAAGCACTCTACAACTGTGAGCTTGCACCTCTGTAATTCAACGAGAAACTTTTGCAGTTCTTTTAAGTTGATCGGGTATGACTTCTAAAGAACAACTTGGAGTGAATTGTTTATGATAGCTGGTTCTCGTGATGATTAGCAATTGTCGATGAAATGGTTCTTAAATGACGACCAATCAATCTGCGATTGGGTCTGATCTTCCATAGTCTTTCCGAGAGAACTAAAGTTCAATTCCCCTTAAGACACGTGTGAAATTTGAAGAGTGCATGACCTAACATCATCAAGCCATTGCAGAATCTCCTTGGGAAATTCATCCCTATCTACTTTATTGTCTCTATTAAGGGAGAGTCAAGGAGGTCCTAAACTTCCCTCATCCCAGTTGTGAACTAACTGGTTAGTGGCCCCTAATTATTGGGAAAAACAGCATGGGATAATTTCCGCATCACTCTCCTCTCCTTCTCAATCCTTTATAGGTGATAACTAAGAGGTTCCAAACCCTCTTCTGTTGCACTTAGAAATGAAATTATGTAAGTCATATTTTCGCTCCATTCTTTTTTAATTAGTCGATGTTAGTAAAAAGGATCTTCATATGCCTGTTTAGAAATGATAGTGCCAACATTCCTCTTCTTTTTGGTTTTGAATCCATCTATGTGCTCTGCTTCTCGGTCTGTAACGACGGCCTCTTGGCGAGAAACTTATCCTTCATCTCTATGCACTTCACTATCACGATAACACCAAGGTTGACCCACTCCCTTTGAAGCCCTAATGTCCACGCTGGAAAGCAAACCCTTGGGGATTCCCTTCCAGAGCACGCCCTTTCTCCCAAGAAGATAAGAAGTTGAGCTCACTAATAGTGAATGATCTCTAAACACTATCTTGTATATGAAATCGATTTTAATGTAGAAATTTAATTTTTGATAGCATAGGAGAGAGTACTTTTCACGCACACCCTTCTAGGAATTCAACATCCCTTTGACTGAAAACAACTAAGATGACGAGTGATGCATTCATGTTTTTAGTTTATTTTTGTTTTAATGTATTTTGAACAATGTTAGTTGTGTTTTATATTTTTTAAGCTATCCTATGATGGTTGGGCATCCAATGAACATGGTAGGAAAGTGTTTGGGCAGGGCATGCCTTGGGTTTGCTTGCACTTGGGTCCATTTTGTCCTTGGCTGCTTGTTGTTTTCGGTTTGGAGATATTGCTGCTCTCGGGTGGGCCTTGGCTGCTTGGTATTGAGCTCAAAATTCTGGATTGTACTTGATGTTAGCTCATTAATGTTTGAGCTGAAATTTAGCTCAATGATTGGGGGAATAAATGCACTTTCTAGCTCATTAAATCAAAAATGTATGCTTCTATACAAGCTCATTATTGTGGAGGGACTTGTGTCTCTTCTCTTCCTTTTGTCTTTTCAGTTTCAGTTGGCTGTTGCTGTTCCCGTGGTCCTCTCTCTCGGTTTTCCCCTCCTGGCTGTTTATCCTGTGAATTGTTGCCTTGTCTCTTGTGCTGGCTCTTCGAGTCCCTTGCTGGTTGGTTTCCTGTGGCTGCTGGTGGGGTTTTCCGTGGCTTGTTTCCTTGTTTTCTATTCAAAAAATCTGCTGGCTGTTATGTGTCTTTTGGCCTTTCATTTCCCCAATTCTTATTGGATTTGGTTGGAGGTGCTATGGCTGTTTATCTACCTTGTTTTGCCTATAAAATAAAGTTGTTTTGGGATGGAAAAAGTTGTTGAAAAAGCTGAATAAAAACTCTACAAAAACCTGAGGGTTTCTCCTTGGAAAAGCTTGAGAGCTTGTTCCACTTCCCCTTTTCTCCTCTCTAATTCGTCTTGGCTTCTAATCTCTTCTTCTCTACGCAAGTTCCACTCCACCTGTATCCTTCTTCTTTTGCTTTGGAAGTTGTACGTTGGCTGAAATTTGGAGACATTTGCCAGAGGAGTTTGGTAGAACGTTGGACTCTTTTGAGGTGGTGGACCCTCGGTTTGCAAGCCTAAGCACAATTTTATTATAATTTTTTACTCTCGTTGCATGTGACGAAACCGCTATACGGTTATACTGAGGATAGCGTTTTTATGATTTTATTTTGTTTCGTTTGGTTTGGCTTTTGTTTCTTCGAACGTTTGTTTGGTTATTTGCAAGCTATAATTGAATCGAGTTTGGTTTATATTTTGTCCTGGTGTTCTCCAACTTATCTTTTCTCTCTAGTTTTCTTGCATCAGGCTTGGTATCAGAGCGAGTTAGAATATCCTTGGTTTGTGTGTCCTTTTCTTTGTTTTAAGTTCTAAAATGGTTAATAATCCGGGGGAATGACAAAAACTTGCAAAATCAGATGAATGAAATGGCTAATACCCTTACAAATCTTAATGTTAATCAACAACATGTCCAAACGTCTAAAAGCGAAGAAGAAGTCCCTAGGAATCAAAATAGGGAACAACGAAATTGGGATTTTGGGATTAAAATTGATGTTCACAACTTTGAGGGTAAA